GCCGATGACAAATCGGTATTGTCTCAGTGCCCAAGCTTGCTGCCGGCGTACCGCCGTTTCATTCCCCGAGCCTGGGAAGGGGTTTAACTTAGGGCACAGACTAATTTTTTTTTCTCTCTCTTAACCTCTCTCTGTCTCTGTTTATAGCAGAGTTGGTAACTTTGACCGTTATACACTGCACGCAAGCTACTGGGACCAATCGATACCGCACCGCACCAGATACGCTCCCTCCCACTCGCAATCCAAACACGTAGTTCATTCGCTCGAGCAAACGGGTGACACAACACGCGCGCGGCGTCGCAGGTCGTCGCCCAAAACATTGATTTACCGATGGCTGGCCCAGTCCCTGAAAACCAAAAGGCAGAATGCGGGAAACAACTTGATGAAACTTATTTCGAAATACTGAGAAATACGCAATGCATCTGGTTTGGAGAATTTGAAAAAAAAAGGACCTGAGCCGGGAGAAAAAGCAGCTCCTCTCTATAACGGTTTCAGTGTGAGGACCTGTATCAAAATACCCGCCTTTGCTCTTCGCTTGGTCCTTATTTGAACACGCATATAAGACCCCTACAGGATTTGTGTTTTGTGGGGGGGGGGCTTTCAACCAGCTTAGATCGTAGTCGGCTTAGGTTACGGAGAATTGAACCCCAACCTCCTCTGAATCTGGGCCTGATAAACATGTCCAAGTTGTAGTTGCCATCCCAATGTACGGAAAGGAAATATAAGCTCTAGGCTTAAACCTACCGTACCGTTGATCGTGCTATCCTAAACATGAAGCAAGCAAGGACCAACTAAAAAACGTCTTCAAAGTCGACCGATCTGTAGATTCTACAGATCAGGAGACTTTGCAGACGCTTATGTTTGATAAGACTCCAGTGTTATCACACTCGTGTCCTGACTTCTTCTTCACTCTCACTCCGACCTGTTTTATCAGCCCAGGCGGCGGCAAGGTGTGCTGGTTACACCGACCGGGAACCACAACTTGTCTAGCCCGGTGGTGGGTCGGTCTCCGGGAAACTCCCGCGCGAGACGTCACCCGATCGCGGAGGAAGGAAACACCAATCGATTTCTAATGACAAGGCCTCGTGCCTCCGATCATGTTTTCCCTCCCGTCCCCCTCACTCTCTCCACCTCTCTCTATCCCTGACATAAATTTTCTCCGTGTGTGAACACCTCCAACCCCCCCCCATCTTTCCACCTCTGTCCGCGTTTGTTTGCCTTGCTTGCGGAGCCGTAGGTGACTCGAGTGCCCTGAGTACATAGTTACCGGCCGCCCCGTCGCACTACTGTATCCGTGCAGGGGTCGCCTTACTCCCTGAACCAACAACGGCCTGTCATCTTCGACAACAGCAAAAGCGCCGAGCCCTTCTAGCCTGTCCCCTAGGTGTACGGCGCCAGCTAGGGGGCGTGTCGGGTGCATACGGAAAGGAAAGTCAATCCACGAAGTCTTGAAGGTTGGGGTCAAATATCTTAACCAGTTCACGTCCCCCGAAACCCCAGCGTAGGAAACGTGCTTGTAAAATCGAATGCAAATTTTAAAGAAAAGCCCTCTTTAGTATAGCTCGGTGACTCGCGCAGCGTTGAACTAAGATCAAGAAGTCGGGGGCATTGCCAACAGTTTCGCAAGCTTTGTATGAAATGAAATTGCATCGCGAGCGCAACGTTAAAAACACTTGTGGAGCCGTGCACATGTGTTTTGTCTGCATCGAGGCCTGACAGTTTAGTTACCAACGACCGTGCCAGATGTGCGTGCGCGTGTGTGTACAGCGGGTTCGTTTCGGCCACAGTTCCTGATTCGTCTCCTTCAGCGCGTCCGATTAATTCTGCGAATGCCATCCATCATGGCTCGTAACATGCGTGAATTCGCTGTCGGGAGCCGCTCGCTACAAACCGCCGCTGCACGAGAGCCCGTTCACTCCATCAAGAACCCCCCCCCGCTAACACACACATTAAGGTGTTTTGTTTTTCGACTTGGTTGATTCATTCATAATCCTGCTATTGTTTGGTTGGATATTGGTTTGAGGAAAAAGCAGTGAAAAACTCGTCTGTGGAAAAACGAGCCACCTTCGGAAAGTTATTCTTGTGGTTGTTTATGTTCAAGATGAAGAGAAGGGGAGGCCTTCAGCTCAAGGTGATAGTTTGTTCAACATTCCAAGTGATTTTCTTTGTGCTTTACATTTAACGGTCTGGCAATTACACACGATTCATTGTTGCAGCATATACATGCAGTTCTTCATTCCGTTGTAATACACAAAATATTATCTGTACATAATTATGTATATATTTAGAAGACTGACGTCATGATGTCGTCATCGCTAGATTGCTGATGACTATTTCTATGAATATTCGCTTCCTTTATTAGACTTTCCAGCCCAACCAAAACAACCAGATGTACTCGCCTTAGCATTATTATATTCTTAGTGATTGGGGCCCACTTTCTTTGGTAATAGGAGGATTGGGAAAGCGCGAACAAGCATGGTTCCTTAACACACGTATTGTGCTTAACGTGTTGTCAAGTTGTCCCTTGAAGCGTGCTTTGTATTGGTGTATTCTCCACTGTAACATCGTTTTAATATTATTCTGTCAATTCGCAGCAATTTGGGCATGCGTCCCCCTCCAATTTTCTAATCATACCCTTCGATCGCCCAATCATCCGTTTTACCTCCACTTGATTTCCTTCGCCAAACACGAGAGTCAAACATGGAGTGTATAATTATTCCGTTGTCAGTTCGGCCATGACCGTGCCCGGCAATGATTACCTGGATTATATAGCTGGCGCGAGTGAGGACCCCGATTGTGCTGTTGTTTGTCCCCATCGTGGTTGCACGGCGCGCCCAAGTGCGGGTTCGAGTTGATATAGATAGGACAGGCCGCTTGCGGGGAGAGGGACGGTTGTCGCGTGCATGCAGGCCTGGGTCCCTTCGCTCGTAGCTCTTCATTTTCGCGCGCCAGTGGTGCGGCAAATCGAGTCCGCTGCAGCGACTGACAGCTTCGTTTCATTAGCTGGCTGCCTGCGCTATAGTCGGGCCTTCCGCGCGGCTTGGAAAATTCTCTCGTGAAGGTCGGAGTCTTTGTGTCAGGCGCGGGCAATCTCTTCTCTGCCAGAATGATGGAGAAGACTTGGCTCCTCCGTCGAGTCTTGTCACTGTACATGTACATACCGACCGCCCCTTCCGTGCTGTTCCACGAGGCACGCACTTCCGCGTGATAATACATGTGGCGCGGCCAGCTATACACACACCCCCGAGCGCCTCTCCGGTCAAAAATTCCGAAAATTAGTGCCGTGTCGGAAGCTGAGCCCGTGTTCAAGGTCGACCCGTGATTAAAAATCTTCGCCAAAAAAAATTGAAGGAATCAGGCTGTTTATCCGGCAATTTCTACGCCAGGCTGCCTCGTCAGAGTGCGTTTACTCTTTCCCAAAAAATGTGAACGGTGTGTAATATCCGGTGGCGGAAGAACGACCAGGGGGGTAGAAAGGCGATGCACTTTTTATTTTCCCCCTGCCCCGTCAGTGCATTCCCGACACTGAATTATGCGTTGTAGTCGTGGAACGCACCACCCCAATTTATTCGATCCAATATTAGATTGTAGAGGGGCACAAATTCAATTAAGCGAGGCCGGTGTGTGTTCCAACTCCATATACAAAATAGTCCTAATTGTCGCACGGGCCCGTTCAGATTGTTCTGTCATGAACAGCGCACTGTAGCTCTCGCCAAATCAATTTATCACAACGAGATACCGTGTTGTTAAATGGGGGTATGCTTTCACTGCATTCCTCCGTGTATGTGCGCACAGGCCATGGTAAAAGAAAAAGAAAGGAAAAAACAGTCGGGAGCCATTCTTTCGAAGTTTTATTACAAAGTTTGCCCCCCCCCCGCGATCCTCGGTCTGTTGTTCGCCCCCCCCCTCTCTGTCTCTCTTTCTAACTAAGAGAGTCTTTTCCTTGTGTGGCAAGAATGTCTACTTTTCGCTGTCACGCTGGATCTGATCCCGCAGATGTTACAGCGCTGTTTACTTTTTGGTAGGACGTCCGCGTCTCTCCACTGTGCCACCTCAGGGTGACAGAATCGGGTCCCTTTTTCCCCCGCCTTTCCTGACGTAAGTGGGCCACCCGAGTGCCCCGCGCTATACCCAAGGAGCGCTCATTTGGCTCTAGGTATTTACTCTCTTGACCCTCCCCCCCCCGGTCCCCGTCTCTTTTCCTCCTGACTATGAGCGGGGGGGGGGGCTTGGGTTCAATCGCGGATATAATTGCTGAGTGTTTCTTCTTTGTGCAGGTCAGGGATCGCTACCACATAGGCCTATACACGTGTACTCGTTGAAATGCATGTGCATGTACTGTACACTTGTACGAAGTTCCTGTGGGTCAATTTTTTCCCCTGGGCTTTGGTGGGATATTTGTGGCGGTCGAAAATGATCGTGTTCCAAATCCGAGACCTGCAGGCCTCCAGTCGTCATTGTAAACATGCTGTCTCTGGCTTGCACGTTTTCTCGCTAATTTTGAGGCTGTTACAGCAAAACCTACACCCGGACCTATTTCAAATTTGTTCTCTTTTCAACCACTTTCTCAACAATACTTTCTGTTGTCTTTATATTCTTCAGCAGAGGGCGCTATAGCCTTAATTCCCAAACCTTCCCCCTATTTTATGGAGCAAACACATTCAGATATTCTGAATCAATGCGATATTTGACTTTCACATACAAGGCGAAATTGCGTTGAGTGTGTTCTTGGCTTACCACTATAACAAAGGCGTCCAGGGTTGAAGACACGACGCACTAAACCAACCGATTCGCCAGGACAATTTTTCAAACAAAGTGGTTCATCACTTGGGTATAATACTATAACCACGCGAACAAACACTCCTGAAGGAGCGTGTTAATCTAACACACTCCTTCAGGAGGAGAAAACTTGAGGAAGTCCTCAAGTTTGTCCGCACAGTTGCCGGATACCGTGCGCCAGTATGAATGCAGCAATTTTTCTTCTTTCTCTTCCTCGACAGGACCCCAGTCGGAGGGTTCAGAATTTCAACGGTGTACCCATGGTGGCCTCCAGCCCCGTCCGGCACGACTCGCAAATGCAGGGCAACCAGGTGGAGGTACAGAGCTACCAGCCGCCGTGGAAGGCCCTCAGCGACTTTGCCCTCCAGAGCGACATCGAACAGCCGCCATTCCAACAACTGGTGAGTGCTCTCTTCCATAATAATTCGCAGGGTTTTTTCGCTTAGGCAAAACTACGCACTGCAGAAATTTGGGCGTTGACTGCTGTTAATTTGACACTCTCGGTATTATCTGAGGAAGGTGTTACATTAACAGCACATTTTTGGGGGTAGTACGGCGTCTCTAGCGCCCCTCTCTGCATCTCGCTGACCATCACTGCCGATGACGTCCTACTGTTTTCATTGTCTTGACCTTTGTGTACAGACGCATGTGCCTCGAACTTTCCATTTTACCCATGTAGCTAGGAAGTTATTTCATAAAGTGTTAAGTTGTTAGAATATAAAAGTATAGCACTACATATAGAGTTTTAGTGGGGTTATAAGTTGGCTTTTCGATTTTATTATGTCTGCGCTCGACCATGCACCACCATGCCTTGTCGAATCATCCAAACCCGTTAAAAAAAATTGAGACAGACTTGCAGCAGCGGGGATTTATTTGGGCAATCGGTACCATGACCGATGCTTTGTTCAAAGTGATACCATTTCAATATGTGCAAACCTCAATACGTAACAAGGTTGCCTTTGGCAAAAATATTCAGTCGATTGCGCTTGGGCATTGCCGCAATCCCCATGGTTAATAAAAATGTCCAGAATATTACAGTATGCAAGTGTGCAAGCAGACCAGTCGTCTAGTAGTGTCTAGTAGTGCACGCCGACCGACCGAAGCTCCAGCGGCAAAACTTCGCATCGTCGCTTGACTGGTATTCCTTCTTGTAAATTGTTTGGCCTCCCCTGCCTTGTTGGTTGTTTTGGGGGATTTTCGTGATAAGAAGCACAACCGCAGGAATTGTAAATGAGCAGGCAGCCTTTCGGGTTTCTGGAGGATTAAGGACGCTTGAAGTAACTGTCTGAAATGATGGATTGCCCTCTGTTTTTTCTCCACGAGGGTGGTAGATGACGGGACCCTGCAGTCTTCTACAATTTGCCGTGGTGGTCACTGTGAGTTAATGCTGCCTTATGATCCCAGTTCCAGAATTCGTGATTTTCGCTGCGGAACAAAAGTTGCCGTCCTGAGAGTCTGGAACTCTGGATACCTTGACCGGACCCAACGGTTCTTGCATGCGCTCGGAATGCTTAAGGAAGAGGTTTCGTGGAGTGGTACAGCCATGGAGCTATAAAACGGAGCACGAAGAGCAAGATGTCGTCTTATGCAGCGACACTTGTTGCTGTGGCCAGCAGATGCGTATGTTTGCTCACGAAATGGCCGTCGGACTGCCCGGCCTCCACTGATTCAACCGTTGTTGTAATGTCTTGACTGGAAAAACCGTCGCTGAAAGGAGAAGCCGAAAGTTGCCTGCTCTCTCTCTCTCTCGCTTTCGGACAGGTCTGTGTATCGGATGTCTGCCGAAAAAAGGGAATCATTCTAGGGACTTCTTTGTCTCGCTCTGTTCAATCGCGTCAGATCGGTGGGTCTGTCCTGGGGGAGTTATCGCCCATTGTGTCGTGCCGAATCACCAGAGAGGGTAATACGGGGCGCGGGTCCGAATTGCCCCCGCCGACGGTCCCTCGGCGAGGAGGGAAGCCGATGCGGACCTGCCCCGGTTGTGTAACTGACCGTTCACATGCAGTGCCGATGCTCAACTAGTTGACAAAGCACACGGGGGTTTCTGACCCGATAACAGTGGTATGTGCTGCGCGTGCGCGGTCTCTGTGGACTCCTGAAAAATGCCCAACCGATTAAAATGTTGGCTTCAGAACTGCTTTCACTAATCAGACCAAAAGAACTGCAGGTGGAATCATAACATTGAGATATAGTTTTATAATATATAGTCAAACAACCATTGACTCGACTGTGCTAAATCATCGCTCAAATTGGATATAGCTTTGCCAATGTAAAAGAATAACTGGTGGGAATGCGAAGTTCCTTGAAGTTGTCGCTCTCTCGAATTTTGGCCACTGTTATAAAGACGATTGGTCTTGCGCTATCACACATTTATTATCATCGCTCTTTAAATAGGCAACACTATGGAATAGAATTCAGTTTTAGCCAAGCCTATGCGGTTCCAGCGGGGGGGGGGCACGCGCTTCGGAAGGCCGGCTCATCTGCCCTGCGCGGGCCCGATGACGAACTAATGGTAATGAATGCAGAAACGAATTGGAAACCCGAGACGTTGACAAAATTCGAATCGCTGATTAATTTGAAACCTAGCCGGGTAAATCACGACCGGTGCCCCTCTTTCTCTTTACCCTTTTTTGGGGGAGACAAGAAGATGAAAATTGCAAATTCGCTTTCGTCGAAAAGGGAAGGTAGATGATCCTCCGAGCGGGGGTGTCCTGACGGGTCAGCGGCGTTCTCGCTTCTGGAGTGCGCACGTACGTGTACACGTACGTGCATTGCTTTTTTCCCGTCTTTAACACTAATTCATTACGCGTATCACTTCTCCGCTATACGCTGAATTAATGTGTATGCCATTATGCCAATGAGCTGAAATGCTGTATGCCTTCGATTTTGGTTTTACATTTTCAACATAGATCAATAAATCAACTAAATCAATGATTCGGTAAGGAACGATTAGATACTGAACACGGATTTTCAAGTAACGAATAGGCTATTGTTGAATATTAGTAGTAGTTTGAAAATGACCTTTTCGTTCAATTTGTCAACACTGTAATTCGCTTTTGTCAGCGTTCACAGCTGATCTTTTTTACTATTCACTCATGACCTAAATACGCTTGGCAGATGGACTAAAAGAGGATTTTCTCTTTGCCTCTGCTATGTTGTTCAAATTTTGCCATAATATTTAATCAGCGTGGCTTCATTCATGTAAAGAGAAGAGTCTCCCCCGTTACTCCATCCGTCCTGTTTATTTATCCTGGCCGTCCTCGCTGATCGGGTTATCTTCTTGACCTTCTTAAATACAAAATGTGATTTCTAGCAGCAGTGAGCGCCTTCTGATGTCCGCCCCTAATCCGGGCTCTCGTCTCGTGGGGCCCCGGAGTCGCCGGGGTAATTTCAGCAAACATGTCTGCAGATTGAAGGCGAACGAAGAGACGACAGGCAAATTAAACAGGCCTGGGCCACGCTCTCGTCTCATCACCCCTGCGCGAGCGGCGCGCGCGCACCATAGCCTCGACACCCCCCCCCCTCAACCGATCACACCCGATTTGGCGTCCCGACCTCGTCGTGTCAGTGCGCTGACTGCCGTGCCCCTGCTGCTCCGCATGCATTGTTGGCCCCGGCATTTCGGTGTTCATTACTCGAGCTAATTTGCGCCCGAACAGGCCCAGGGCCCGTGGTGTGAGGCTAATACGGCACTCCGTTTGTGTCAGTAGATGATGTCGCGCCTCATCACGTCGTGTTTGTACTCCGTCCCCTCAGCCTTTCAATTCGGCTTAAAGATCGCTCGCCTCGACTCAAACCCTGCGTCGCCCTGGCGTGGCGTAGGAATGCTCGAGTCTACATGGTCGTCCCAGCCATTCCCAGGATTCAGTCAACGTATGTACTCCTGACAAGCCCCCGTTAGCGCGCAAGACTATGAGAGAAAGAGCAACGCAGAGCGCTCGATTTTGCATCTCGTTACTGTCTTCAACTGCCAAAGCACTGGCGCCTATTTGACGTCATTAATGAAAGCACGGGGTGCAAAGATATAAAGACGACATCTAGAACTGAGGAAGGGAAAAAATGGCGCGCGTTGCCGCGGGATGCAAGCGACAGAATCGGTCCTGCAAAGCCCTCGCTCTGTTTTCAGATGAAACATGGCTCAAACTCGGACTAAACGGTGCTGTCACAAGCTAGAGTGGCTAATTACTAGTCAAATCAACATAGCCGAAAGGAGAAGGCAGCCGAGTGGTGTTATTCATCCGGCGTTACTGCCGGAACTCTACCAAGCATCCTTTTTATAGGTTGAGTTCAGGATTTGATTTTTCCCCTTTCTTTTCACTTGGCATTTGGTTGCCAGAGTCGAAGCTCCGCCACCGGATGATTAGACGACGTTGGCGGGCCCAGCGCTCCGCAATGACCGCAGGACATCACTCCGTACATCCCGGGCTTCTCTCAGATTCATCCCTCTTCTCGTCCTGTCTTTTTTTTCCCTATCCCCTCTCTGTTGCCTTTCGCGTTCGTTTTCTCTCTCCGGGTGCTTGGGAAAAAACTTTCCCGAACAATACTCAGAGTGGGGAACCCGATAATGAGCGAGCAGGCGGAAATGGCTTTCGTCCAGTGTCGAAAATTTAACCGTGCAAAAACAACCTTGCTTTTACCGGGCCGACTCTGGGCTTGTATTTTTGTGCGCGTGTCACACTGACTCGACTTCCCGTGCGAAGCTCGTCCGCGGCACAGCACAGTCGTACACGCTTGGAAAAAAGAAATCATCTTGGGATGAGAGGGAAATAACACGGATGTACCGAGCCATCCCCGGGGGTTCTGTCCTCGGGGAGAGGAGGCTGAGGACCGAATGTTCTCTCCAGAAGTCCTCATAAAATGATACAAAGTATAACCTGCCGTATTTTGTGTCAATCAAGGTGAGGAATCCTTCAATTCCACTGTTTTGTCTTGACACACTTTTTGTCCCGTAGTACGTGTCTCTACCGACATTTTTACGAATTTCGACGTGAAGTCTTCTAACATAAATTATATCAAGCAATACCACTCATCAACCAGCGACAATAACGTACGGTGCCCCCCCACGGAGCCGCGATAAAGGATGTTGAAATGTCTCCCAGCTGTAAGACGCCGTCTGAAAACAAAAACCGACGAAAAACTGTTAAACAGAAGAGAGTGTGAATCCATAGCCGGCAGATTTGTTCCCGTTACGGGTCTGTTTACTTAAACAAGCATGGTCATCCATTATAACTACGGAGAGAAGTGTTTATGCATGGTGCACCTGTTGGCTGCTTACATTGTAATGATATGTTCCTATAAATCAAAAAATGAGATTCATGGGCCTACTTATGGCACACATACCCGTGGTATAATTATGTCCAATTGGGCTCTCAAAAAACCAAATCGGCTACACGAACCGCGTAGATTGAATGTCAAATCGCGCAAGGTGGTGACAGCCCGACTGAACATAAAATCGCTCGTCACCGGTTAAAGGCTATAGGGAGAGAAATCTCTTTTTTTTCCTTTTCACCCGGATTCCTTACACGTTCGTCAGTCCCCGCAAAGCAAACACCAAACGGCGACGACTGTACAAAATGGCGCTAGGCAATCTGGAGCACATCGTGTATTGTATTGCTGCACTGATTAATTTTCGATGGCCGACACACATCCGAGTCTCCGGCTGCGACGGTTGATCATCGTGTGGTTGTCACTTGGTCTGTGATTATATTGGGGAAGAACCGCCACCCGGCGTGTCGTGTACCCAATCTACCACTTCTGCCGTTATCATTATACTAGCGGTTACACAGATGGGAAGGGGAGAAGCATTGTTTCAGCCGTTACATACATTAACACGGGACAATTTTTTCCCCCGTCCCTCAGACCGATTGTGTAGATTTGAACAATGCCGTGAGCATCTCACGTTTCTCTGATGAAATTGGAACAACGCACATCGGCCCCCGAGATGGCCGGGTAATCGCGCTCAGAATTTATGGCCCTGTGAAATCAATACCTCTCGTGTATGGCGTATACGGCCGGTTGATGCGAAGCTCGCGCTCACATTGCGCGCGCTGCGATCTCGCGATGTTTCCACCACCACAGACCGGGATCTCGCGATCGCGCGATAGTTCAGCTGCAGCCGGGTGCATGTTTAAAGAAATTGGTGTGTAGTTGCGTATTTTCTCGAGCAAAACCTTTTAGCCTGGTCACGCTATGCTTTACTTCTGTTATGTTTATCGCGAAAGAGCCCAACAGTTTGCGAATTACCAAATCGCTCAACATTTATTTCCACATTGACAACTTCAGTGGCTTCATACATAAAGAAAAACTATATGTACTTAATTATGTAAATATGCATACAATCCTATATTCACAGATGAAATTAATAATAGTACAGGCTACTGGATTTTAGTTGGAGGTTTACAGGGAATTTGTACTTTCGTAAAATTGTTGCGTTATTTCTACAATGCATCATTTTTTGTTGTTGTTTGCTTACTAAATTGCAAATAAGTTTGTAAAGTATTGCGGTAAATAATCCAAAAGGCATCTTGTGGGTGTTGCAATTTTTTGTAATGTATGAGTACTACATGTACCAGTGTGTGGATCTTCATGTTCGGTCTGCTGCAACGAATTGGAGCTCACACCTCTTAATGCTCTTGGTTTTCAACTTTCTGGTGTGGCTTCTGTTTTCTCTTACTGGGGGAACATGTTTACAGTCATTCAGACTGAAGGCGCTTAATTACAGTCACAAATTCACCAATATCTGCATGTTGATTTGGACCCACGTTTGCCTCAGTCGTTACCTATTACCATTTCACAAACAGAATGACCCAGATTACGGACTGCCTCCCCCGCCAGGTCGTCCATGATGTACTACCTCGTCCCCACGGCCCGTTGAAGAGGTTCCGCCGCTGCCGCCGCGTACGTGTCCCGACTACCAAGCCGCTTCTTGCGTTCCCTCTCCCCCAGGGCTGCGAACGCCTTGCATGTGGAAGTATACATGTAATGTACATGTACGTTAGGGGAAAAGGGAAGTTGCTCGAAACATGCGCGGCATCACACAAGGCCGATGATCGTTCATGCAGGGACACTGGCCCAGAAATTAGAATTTAGAAAACATGTAATGAGAGAGATGTATGTGCATCGACAGAGGCACTTTGGCCCCGCCATTATGAGACCGGGTGAGATGGACTGGTCTCTCACACTGTCGCTCCGCCGCCCACCCGCCGGAGTTTGTTGATGCATACATCCATCCTACAAGCCCAGATGCTCAGAAGACAAACAGATGCTGAGAAGACAAACTAGATGCACAGAAGACAAATAGATGCTCAGAGGACATACAGGTGCTCGGATGATAGGACGAACAGAATGCTCAGAAGTCATACAGATACTCGGAGTACAAACAGGTGCGCAGAAGACAATCAGATGCGCAGAAAGACAAACAGATGCTCCGAGGACAAACAAATGCTTTGAGGACGAACAGATGCTCAAAAAACATACAGATACTAAGGGGACAAACACTTGCGCAGAAGACAAACTGTTGCGTGGAAGACAAACAGATGCGCAGAAGACAAGCAGGTGATCAGACGATAAACAGGTACTCGGAGGACGAACAGGTGCTCAGACGACAGACAGTTACCTAGCAGACAAACAGTTGCGGAACCTCTTAGCTGAATATGAGATTTGCTGGGAATACATTACATTGGCAGTTTGTGAAGTATAATCTTTGTCAGAGACGAAGCATTATGCTATCTCACCTTGTCTTCCATTCTCTGTATGCCACGAAATCGATCGAGATGGACTGTAGGCCTACACAGTAAAGTATAAATAACTTTCCGCGAAGGGTCACTGTACGAAGTTCATTTACAATGTCTATTTTGAATGACATGCATGCAGCGTCATAATGTAAGGCTAGACTCGCAGCTATATAGCATGACGAACGTAGGGAAGATGACTCCGGATTTTCTTCTTTTTTTTTCTTAAATTCTCGCTTTCACCGTAGCTGCCGTACGGTGTTCTCGTTCGACTCCTTTCCAAGTCCACACGACCATGACGGGGCCTCTGCGGCCGTCTCCCGGTTTTTGTTGGCGACACGTCCCGGGCCCGTTCGGCCGGAAACTCGGGCTGGGGAGCCAGCCGAGAAAAAAAAATCTGAGGGGGTAAAAAAAAAAGGAGGGAACCCTAGACTCCCGCTCTACCCCTCATATCGGATCCCCTTCCCTGCGTCTTCAGCGCGCCAGGGCCAAGGGCCCTTCGCGTCCGCTCTCGGATCGGTGTGTAACACGCATCATTAGCGAAGTATATCTCGTTACGGGAGCCTAGGCAGGCGGCTTTTGTTACCGGGGATGGGATGCCGTGGATTTTATTGATCCGTTCGGCCTTGTTTTCTTTCCTTCTTTCCTGTCACCCCCCCCGTCACTCTTTCTGTTTTCAAGAGAGTTCAAAACAACGGCACAGGGAATCTCCCGTAATGTACTCCCCGCTTGGTTCTGTTCTTGTACGCTGTGCCCTTTGTTTTTACCCCGAGCACTTTTTGCAGGAGTCTATCCAAAGGTTCTTAAAGGAAGTTGTAAATCCTTCTATGACGTCATCGCATATTTAATCAAGATGATGTACTATAGGTCTTGTCTCTTCACACAGATAAGATGGACCTTAAGTCCGACCACCACTTCGGTGATATCGCAGCCCGGTGTCTGTTCTCACCTCCTCGCCCTTGCTTTCAGTTCAGTTGGCACTGTCTCTGGCACGACTCTTCCAAACAAGACAGACACCCGCCAAAAAAAAGAGTTCGGGTCTTTTGTTCACCCTAAATTGAAGTCGTGGGTCCGAAATCACATCTTTAATTTGCAATTCGAGCAATAGGGGCCGCCTCGCTGTCCGTCAAATCGATAATCGAATTTGGTCGAGGTTCCCTCCGCGCCTGCACACAGCAAACATGAACACAGTAACAGAACCCTTCCCCCTTTTTTTATTATTTTGGCGGCATTGTGAGCCGGCCGGCCGCACCGACGACAGGGGAAAGAAAGCACACAGAACCGTTGAAGAAATCACGATCTCCTGGCTTCATTTTCAGCAGTCTCTCGTCTAATGCCCCCCCCCCTCGTCTCTTTTCTCCACTTTGCTGTCCAGCGTGTACTCACGCTATCACTTGCCGACTTTGTTTGGACTCCGTCTTCGGGGGGCCTTCTCGTCGGGCAATAACTTAATCAGATTACGCATTATATCCCGTCCTCTCGTCTTGGCAGCTTTCTAATGCCCATCCAGCTTAGGCGGTGATACATGGCTCTCTCACCGCCGGGGGGAGGGGGTTCCCCTTGCTTTTTTTGTATGTCCATTCATTACCATCTAACACGGAGTTTCATTCCACTGACATAACTCGATGATCTTCTGCAATCCGTTTACCAATTCCGCAGTAACATGCTACATCCTTTATTTACCAGGAACGACATATACCCCTTTATTTTGTTCCTCTGGATTCGCAAATTACATTCTCGAGGTGAATGCACGGAGGTTTCCCCCATAATTTTTTTTCTGTAAAATTCTTAAGTGAATTATTGTAACAATATATTCCCAAGTTACTCTCGGGGTGTTTCGATTTAGCCTAGGCTCTTTCCGCAAGCTTTTTCTCTCCTGGTGGCGAGAAATAGATGTTGATTCCAAACTCGCCTCCTGTCGCGACTAGGTTCAGAAAAAATGTAGAATTTCATACATCATTTCTTTTGATTTTTTTTCCGGCAGGTAAACTTCTCCGAACAGAACCTCGGGCAGTCGAAGGATATGCGAGACGATAACTCGGCAATTATGAGTTTACCGCCCACACCCGACTCCTCTGACCGGATGCACGGCGGTTCCAATGGCCACATGGACCGGATGGATTCGCTAAGCGTCAGCGATTGACGTGGATTTTTCTTTGGTCCCGATGTATACCCAACGACTTTCCATCGTGTAGTATAATGCATGTAAAGAAGAGGACAAATTGAAATCTTCGCCGGTCATGGAGGAATACGAGCTACTGTGCAGAGGAGTGAGTACATGAATAAACTTGACCTGTGAACCATCCCTGTTTTGCTTTTCTCTCTAACCGTGCAAAAAGGCGCACGAGGAATGTGAACCTCGTCTCCAGTCCAGTCATCACTGCCCTCGAGCGGGGGTTCGACTCCAGAGCCGGCGTTAACAAGGGGGATACAATCTTCAATGAGTGAGGCGTTACCCCAGAGGCATACGAAGAAATCATCCGGCGGCGAAAGAGCGTGTAGCTGTGGAGCAAGATGTCATTTTTTTCCACCGACCAAGGCTCTAATCCAGTGTTGGTTTCCTCTTGAAATGACGTTCGTGGAGTCAGAACTACAGCCGTGGAATAGGATTGTGCTCACGTTTTGTGATTATACACGACATGACGTTGACTCTATACCAAGTCAGACGTTAACGTCTTTGGTCACTCCAGTGTGTCGCAGTGCTCAAGTGTAGCGCAGACTCCGGAGGTGAATATTCATGTTCACGCTCTCAACGTGTAATAACTGTTATGAAAACCAGACGTTCCTGCCCCTACGCAGAAGGCACCAGGTCACAGGCGACAATTTGTGCAATTTGATTGGTTAACGCAGACTGCCTGTTTTAGGCAAAAGATATCATGGCGTCGAGTAACAGGAATAATCGTCAAACAATACCTTTTTGAGAATCTCGAACAGAATTACTCTCACGCAGACCCAATCTCAGAGAGACGCAGTGCTGAAATGCGGGAAAAAAAATAAAACTCACCATTGAGAAATACCGGTTATACGTTTAACATTCCCATACCACGTGACCGCTCTCTGAGTCGGCACAATAGTTCCAAAACGATGAATAAGGTGGTGTGTTTTCTGATCGAGTGTGTAGAACTGAAGCTATTTTCCCCAGTTTTCCCCTGATTTCACCATTTATATTTTAATGATGATAGTTACTATGTAGAGCTCCAGGTTGCTTTAATCTAGTGTTCTTGGTGCGTGTTGGGTGTACACATATGATTTTTAGGTATTTCATTTTGTGATTTTCTTGGCATCACCAAAGTTAAAATGTTCGCGTTGTTCATTTCCCAAGCTTTATACGTCGCGTTAGCCCATGGACGCGTTTGATCAAGTAGCGCCAAATTACGATTTTTATTTGCACTTTGCCTCGTGCCGCCGTCTTATTGGACAGAAAAGATAGCTACTGATATTGGCCCGAATGCATACGATTGCCTGGTTTGAGGCCTCTTTACCTGTCGTCCTACGGTATTAACCGTGACGTCATGATTTAATCCCTCGGCTGGCTGTTGCCAGGGTAACGGGTCCGAGATGGGAGCCGGGTATAACGTGCTTAAAGGTTCGTGGCTGGAACATGCAAGATCTGCCTCGAGCAGAATCGGGCACGCACACGCACGCAAGAAAATTCACTAGTCGCAACTGTAATACGGAATGCTCTCCCAGCTTTCCCACGCCATTGTTACACTGGTAATTCGTTCACATTTTGCGTATGAATCTTTTTTTTCTCTCTTTCTTTAACTTCAGTTAAGCAGGCCGCGCTGAACATCTTCATGGCTGCACCGTTGTTTTGAATATTTGGGTGTTTTTTTTGTTTTCTTGCCATTTTACAAAATACAGTCATTTTAAATTGTACTATATTTCTGTTCCTCGATGTGTGCGCAAGTGGTTACACTCACATTGTGTAAATTATATAGAAAGAGTTTCCTTGTCTTTTTCAATACGTGTCATTATTTATTAAGAGGTGTATCATTCCTCGCTTTGTACGTTTAGTAAATTGTATTCGTATCTCTATCTCTTTTGGGTTCATTTTAAAGATGATATATGGAATCAGAATATAATTTGACAGGTTCCGTTCCCGCTCGAGTCGATTTCTTTCCGGACCTACATGTACTCTTATTTTTTTTTAATTAACTGAGTCAGCATCTTTTTTTTGCCGCTTCTGCTGATTTTATTTTATATAAAAATGGTTTTTTCCTCAAAATGTTTTTTAACTAGAACACCTTAATTCGTAAGGTGTTTCGTGTCGTGATATCCGCTCAGTCTCCAGTACACGCACTTCTTGTCCCAGTTCACGGCCCTACCGTCTTCCCCCAACTTGAACGGAAAAAAATCCAGTGGTGCGATTCGCATGAGCAGCCGATCTCGGGGCGGACCGTGACTGCACAAGCGGATGCCGAATTTGGCTTTCTCCTCGGTCTAATCACGTGGTGACCCGCTTCGCGTTGCTGCTCACGTTAATTTCATAATCGTTTTCAATTCCATTCTTCCTCTTCATTCTCTTTCCACCTTTTTTTCTGTGTCGGAGGCGAAAGTAGGTAAGAGAGAAACGTGAGGTTACTATGATCACTAGCGGGCGGATGGGGGGGGGGTGCCCGCCAAAAGTGCAGACCGTACCTAGCCCCGAGAATAGTGTGTGTGTTTTCGGTGAGGAAGGGTCGTTGAACCTCTAGCCAAACGGTGAAGTTTAGCGTAATTGGGTAAATCACCGACTTGTTTCTTGTCTTAAAACTGAACCAAAAGTGCCAGGACATCATCCCAGCAGAAAGATGTGGATGTCTTGCTTCACATTTCAAACAAGGGTGGTCGAGTGACTTCATCCTTCAACCCTATGCGTCGAAATGCACGCTGGATTCACCTTTCACGTCACCAATCACTGTTGTGTTAGAGTAGCGATATAAAAATGTGCAATGCGTATCCGTGGTTGTTAACGAACCATACCAAACCAAGCAATATGTGATAAAATATCAATATTCTAACCACGATCTGTAATATCAACTTCTTTCTACAAAAGGGCGGGCTTTGCGTTTGGGTTTTGCTAAGTTAACGGCACACATCTGTGCAGACAGTGAGGAGCACACTCCAGCATTATGATGTTCAATCTGTATGCGTTTTATTTACCCCAACACGGGGACGCAATATCACCTGACAACATCCTCGTGCCAGTAATTATTATGTACTGTCATGTTTGTGTCTCAGTGCTCTCATTGGCTATTGTTTGCCATTTACTGTATTGTTAATATTATTCAATATTATTCTCTGCATCGTATGTGTTATCCGTAAATGAAATTATGCAGCAGAATAGTTGTACGTGTATATAGGACATACAACAGTCGCCAGTTATTTTCTCGCAAAGAAAGATAAGGGAGAAAAATAAGAAGAAATCAGAAGATGTGGATTACGGTGTACGAGTTGGCGTTTACATTCTACGTTTTATCTAACTTATTTGTTGTCGGTGTAACTGCTATTTGCTGGTGTACATTTCGAGTTGAGGTGACGTTTTACAGTCGCAATTTGGCAAATAAAGATTTCACCGGTGGCTGAAACCTATACGCGCTTGTAGCCTATCAAGTCTGTACTTTTATTTCTTAGGGCTCTTGGGGTCAGAGGCGAGTCCAGTGAGAGTGGGCGAGGCGTTTTCTCCCAGCGAGAGTGGCATCGCCCAGTTAGAATCAAAATCTTTGCATTCAGTCGTGACTTGTAATTATAACCTTGCCAGAGAGGGATCGCGCTTCGTAGTTTTTCAATCGTTCCTTGCCTTGCTAAAGGAACTATTGCTGAGTACCAGTTGCAAGAGGTCCGTAGGTCACTGCAGTGGTACCACACGCGCGCGTTCTTGTAATGAGCCAGTTCGGTATACCAAGAGCGCATGCCCAGTAAGAGGCTACTGGGGCGCAGCTACGCGGGCACGCAAAAGTATATCTTAAGCTGCATCCGGATCTCTTGTCTAGAGCTAAGTCTGTGTCTTTGCTCCATTGGAAATGCGTGGAGATGCGTAGACAGTAGACCTAGCCGTAGCTCCGGAAGCCTGTTTCGGACACGGCCTTATTAGTGCAGCCATACACCGACTCACTCGCGCGCTTTGTTCCCGAAAGACCTTGGCATTTTGGGTATGCCAGTCTGCGTGTTGGTTGGAGAGGCATATAACGCGCGCGTACCACCTGTCTTCGAGCGTGCTACACCACCAAAAGTGCAATGGCTTCTGATTGACCTGCAGCCTTCAGCTGTACCCCAAAAGTAATCATTGGAAAACATCAAATTTGTTCAAAAGCTCTGTCATACATTTTGGGCACACTCTGTCATTGTTTCCAGTTATGGCCGTTTTATATTTCCAGGTGCTCTCTTTAAATCCTTCATCGGTGAAAAAAGGGAAAGATCTGTCGGCAGGCTGCCGTTAAATTGTGCGCCTAAGAAAGGGGCATCCAGATTTTGTGTCGAAATGTCCTTGCGAAACTCAATTGTGTGAGCGTATTAACCATATGCTGTCATGCGTGACTGTCACACGATTGCATGTTAAGAGGCCTGTGTCCTGTACATGCATACGAAATTCATAGCATATCATCACACGAAATACTAGCATATTTGAAATCCTAATCATCTCCCTTACCTGAAATCATGTTGTGCTTTTGCAATTCTTCATTTCTTGCCATTAGGGAGGGGACGAGGAAAAGTTCCCTTCCACCTCAACAAAGTCTCATTCGGTGGATAAGACTTTATCAAGTGCTGGAAGTTCGTGGATTTAATGACCTGTCGACGGGAAGACACGATTAAAGAAAAAAGACGACTTCTTGCAGTTTTGACTTTGTGTACTCCACCTGTATGTTAAGTGTATGCATTTCGGCAGGTTCATCCATGTAATGCCAGTTATTATATTTGATTAATGCACAAATTGACACCTTGTCCTATAATTGGGCAGTTAAATGTTTAATAAGCTACGCTGGGCTTCCCCACGTATTTGTCCTTTTTTTAGCCAATCGCGGCTGTTTTACTCGCGATACGTCCAACAGCTGCTGCGCACTTTGAACACACTTTAGAGACGTTGATGTGTGAATCGATAATGGAAACTTCGTTCCTCAACCTTGGTTTTACAATCGCATGCGTCTGCTTTTACCCTTGTCAAAATAATAACGTGCTATCGTCCAACAGGATCAATGACATAACGTGTATTGACACACGTACCAGTATTTCTTCGGACCAACGTATTTCAACTGGTGCGGTCCACCAATTCAAAGCCCATTGAGAACGGTGTAAAATCGACATTGTTCAAGGCTAGATAACATGCAAGCAAACACCCTAGGGCTTCTCAAACAAAAATTACTTTTTGTTTGGCCCTTACACTTTCAATGTTTGCTCAGGTTGTGGAATAATCAATTATTTTTTAATAATGAAAACAAAATAAAACCACCCCCAAAATGTGATAGTTCCGAAGTCAGCATGCAACCATTTTTTGTTAAGTGTCGTCCCTTCCATTTTGGGCTCATTAGGACCATTTTCAACCGCGTTTTTTAAAATCCATTTTGCCCTTAGATGAAAGCCCAAAGAACCAGGGAGTTGATCATAGCAAACATGTACACAATCTCACCATTTTAGGGACCAAGCAATCAACCAAGTGGAAAATAAAACAGGGAATACAACTTGGTTCCCATGAGCCTGAAAAGCAAAATGTGCTGTCCCCAGAAAAAAAAACAAGTTATTTAAAGGGACGTTTCTACACTGTGTCTGATGGGATTAGTGTGCAGGGAACGCATTTGTAGCTAAAAGTTAACGATTGTGCAGAATGCTAAACGCGGTGCTCAGTTCCAGCGATGTTTTGCGAGTCGTTTTGTTGCCTTTATTTGGGTTTATGAACAAAATGCTGAATTACATACAAATCGAGGTGACACATCACTGGGCTCACTGAAACCAGTCAATGTTCTTTTGTGGGAAAAGGTAACCGCCAATTCGCCAGGTTTTGTTCGACATCCGAAGGTGCCGCGTCCGATTCGTAGCGTAATAAATCATTATATTTCGCTGAGCGCTGCTTGAAAAGATGGGTACCGCCTTTTGGTGCTGGTGGGGGTGGTACAGATAGTTAACCCAGAAAAAAATGGGGGGGGGGCTATTTCTGGCCAGATGGTTCTGTGCACGCGGCTTCAATGCGTCGTGCTGCGGTTGTGTATAATGTACATGTACAATGTGTTTTATATACTCGTATGCTTGCTTCTTTTTTTTAAAAAAAAAATACAGTACCGCAGCAGTAAGTTTCAAATCTATTGCAAGCGTGGTCCTTTGCTGTGCGTCCTCCCGCAGTTGTGCCCGAGGTTTTAATGGGAATGCATCCTGCATCTCCCCCATGAGACGTGCCTGCGAAGCTTGGTGATTTGCCGGACACAGACTTCGCGTGTTCCCGTGCAAAATGCCTTAAATCTAGTCAAACGCCCCCTCAGCAATAATTATGAGGCGTAGACACAAAGGTTTGCTGTTAGCGCTCGAAAGATTTCCAGAAACATGTAATTATTGATCGGAACCTAGCGTTAAGCTTCTCGTGGGAGATTGGCCTTTGTATTTTTAACTGTGTTGGCTACATTGTTTTTAAGAGATGCTAGCAAGTCTCCCCATGGACCCAAGATGCTCTTGTGTCCATGGGGTCAGCCCCGTCATCAACTGGGGTTTAATGTTCCACGACACGGTGTAATCAAAGGAAATACGTGACTCACCACCCTCCTTTATGCTGTCTCTGTTCAAAACTACCTAACTATAGATAAGAAGAGTTTGCCCCCCAACAACGAGGGAACCACCCCCTCCCCTTCTGGCTGCCTTGCTTCATCGAGTCACATTTTGACTCATGATGTGTGATCATTATGCGTGGCAAAGTTTCAGTGAGTCTGTAGTGAAACCATTCTTACATAATGTTAGTACAATATTATGGTTTGTTATAATATTTCATTAATATGAAGCCCTAAGGTTTACTTTGCCATTTTGGGCAGATAGAAATAATGATATATAGATAGATAGATACATGTATAAAGATATCATGGAAACCTGGCTCAACGCGGATGAGGTAGGATTCTCTAGCCATGAATTCAACATTAGATCGCGGGTCCGTGTCGTCCGCAATGCAATGGTCTATGGCTACGCACATGTATCTTGCAAGTGTCGTCACTTTTTACTTATTCCCCGGCTCAGACCCCGGGTAATCCGAGGGCTCGATTTAAGGGTTTGTTGTGGACAATATGGGGGTGTTGAATGGTATCATTACGGGGTGCTAATTTGGGGTCCAAGGCGGCCCAGCGGGGGATGCCGGGTGTCTAGCAGTGGTTGCCTCCGTGGTACCCGGCTAATCAGGGAGTATTGTTAGATCGCGCCAAAAATCACGCCTGGGAGAAGCCGGTCAGTTGGTACTAAGTCCCCCCGCCCCTCGCCCCGACCGTCCGCACTTAACTTTGCCGGAGAGTCAGTCAAGGGCCTTATACTATGGTAGGTCTTAACAAACTTGAAATGATTAGCAGCTCATGAGGGGTGCCCCCTCCCCTCCAAAAAAGAAAAGTCAAAAGGGGGCCGCACAAAACAGCTTTCGCCGCATTTTCAGCACCGTTTAACATATCCAGAATCGATAAGCGATCGGCGGCTTTTGATGAATGGTGAGGGTTTGAAGGCTTGCCGACCGTGCTAATCCCTTCATAATCCCTCACTCTTACCCAAGCCAGTTTTCCGGGGATGGTCCCCCAGTGAAACGGGGCCTAAACTCGTGCAGTGAGTTTCAATACGCCATTGTCTGAAGCGGCAAGTGTTGAAGTGGGAGATCCAAGGTGGTTTTGTGGGTTTTTTTTCCTAGGCCAGGTATCGACTTGCCAGTACCGGAACAGAGGCCGTGAAAAGCACACGGCGCAAGCCCCCCCCCCAAAAAAAGCCAGCCTTGCGGCCCAGGTTCTTCACAACTTCGCCCATTGTACGTCTCGCCGACACAAAGGGTTCATTAGATCGCCAGTGGCCCTTTTTTTTCTCTCCGGCTTTCTCTTGTTGTCTCATTCCTTCCACGTTCTTTTCATGTCCCCGTTCATTGTACAGCCACGGGCTGGGTGTTTACTGAGCAAAACGAATGGCATCAACCGAGAAAAAAAACGGCCTATTGAGTGAACAAAGCCTTGTTTGGTTCCTTTCTTGACAACGAAACCTTTGGTACATCCCCCCGTAAAAAAAAAGTTTTTTTGCGCCTGGAACCATTGAGCGTGTCCAGTGCAAGCACACTATGGCTACCGGTGTTAAGGGTGGCCCTGTTGACGTCCAGTGGCTGGGGGGGGGGACGAGGATTTGTAGGGGAGAGGGGGGCGACAAACCGGCAAAGTTGCCGGAGGTGGGGTTTAAGGGTGGTTCTAATGAGATCGATTGGCAGACGGGGGCCCATTCAGGGCGACAATGTGTCCTAATTGGGCACGGGGTATTTATTGAACTTACAAAATGGCCGCCCCTCCTCTGAGGTCGAAATTAAATAAACCTCCCCCTTGCTGATTGAATCGAGCTGACGTTGACAGATAGACAGGCTCCCCCCCCCCGAAAGTGCAAGAAGCATGTTTGGGTTTGGGGAGAAATAACCGGCTAAAGCAAACGATCGACGGAACCCTTCAGGCTTGTTAAAATAATAGGGATCCCCGTGTACGGCAAGGGGGAGGGGAGTTTCTCGTAGAACTTCTAAGCTTCAAAGCTTGACTGCTTTCACTGGATCAGTAAACATCAGATTAGAGGCGCTCATGGTTGTAAGCACTCTATTTGACATTAACACTTGTGAAATGTTACGTTTTACAATGTACATGCATGGCAAAAATCACAGGCATCTATATGAACACTTTTTGTCTGCCTCGCCATCTTGGTTGTGGGGTAAGGATATGAATGAATCCTCGTTACAACCAGGTAATCCGCTGTTCCATTGCAAAGGGGTGGATCTCAGTCCCTGCAGTGTTACCAAAAAGGACTTTCTTTTCGATAAAGATTCTCGGACCATTGCTGCAGAGAAATTTCATTTTGGTGAACGCTTCTTATAAACCAATTCCTGCTCCTACCGTTCCCTCTGTGATCGCATCTCGTTTCTGAAAAAAAGTACCTAAATAATTGCAACCCTTTCATGTGATTGTGATCGAGCTCCCTTCATCGGGAGATACCGAATGCCTTGTTGGTCGTCCTCGTTGCTTTCACGGTGATTCCTGCCTTCCCTAGTTCATCCGAAAACAAAATACCTGAATTTCTGCCAGACAGTGTGCACGCTGTGAGACCACCTCGGAAACTTCTGGCAGCAAATAAATGCGGCGGACACCCTTCGAAGAATTGTCTCAAAGCCTGGATTAAAACACAAACTTTACAAAATCCATGGCAAGAAAAGAAAACAGGAGAGACCTCGATAAAAATCAGCTTCGGGCCGTCGTGAGCTCTGACAACCGAGTTTATCTTTCCACGCCAAATATTGCGCAACTGGAGAGGGGTGGCAAGAAAGATGAAGCGTAAAGTCAAACAGACTGAAGTGCCCACTTTGGTCGGTGTTGTGCAAATATAGGCAGAGCCGCTGACCGGAACTCATGCGACCAGGGTAACCGAGGGGATTGTCTGACTCAGGCCGAAAGTTGGTCCCAGAAAAAAAAAATCTACATGGACATATTATTTTCATTCCGGTGTTTGTTTGTGGCCAATAATGATATACCATATGTACTTCAATTATCTACTTCTGTTTGACAGCAAAACAGTGTTGGCGTCATTCCCTTCCATCCCAATGAAAAAAAAGGTTACTTGTTAATAGATTGAAGTGTGAAAACACGTTGCGCAATCGAGGAAACTTCGAGAGGGTGTGGAGCACAAAGTCAAACACGCCACAGTTGCCACTTGAAGCCGTGTTTTCTAAATAGGATGAATGTTGATGTGATCTCCTACAAAGAGAACAAACTCAACCGAGAAAGCCTAGTGGATTTTTGTACCGGTCGATGGACCGCAGGTCCTGGGTCACCCGGGCCGGGCCGCATCCCCGGCCAGGAGTTTAGAAGCCGCCGCTTGTTATTGGTCGTTATTGTTATAATCGCCTGCAGAGTGTTTGGAACAATGCTTATGTACAAGATAACGTATCTTATGCCCGTTTCTTTCGTAACTCTTCGAATTAATTATGAATCAAATTGAAAAGTCTCTTTAATGTGGTTACAGTACTTCCAAGAAAAACATCGATCACAACAAATATAAGAAAGAGCGTCGGATGTATGTGAGTCTGGCTGAAGGATAGTTGAAAGTTGGTGTGGTTGAGTCATTTGAATGTTTTTCTGTCTGGATTCACAACAGGTAACCTCTTCAAAAGTGCTCTGCAGTGTCACAAGTACTGTCAAGTCTGGTCAAATTACGATGACAAAACCCGTGGGTTACCCAGCAAAGTGAATTTGACGCAGTCACGAATACTATTGGCACAACACACTCTGGTGGCATCAGCAGAGGGCGATATGACGGAGAAAAGCATCTTGTAATGTTAACTACATGTTGGAAATGGTAAGGGAAACAGCGTTGTTTTCTCTTAAGAGGTTGAGGCCGCGCGCAGGGTTTTTTTTCCAGCAGTCTTAAATGCATTTGCAATTTCCTGTGGCAAATTTCTGTTATTCGCGTGCAACAGGAAGAAGGCTGGATGACTTAACCCCCACCCCCAAGAGAAAATCTTTAAAAGACTGAAAAAAGAATCCAAAGGAAAGGAGAGAAAAGTAATTATGAAAAGGGGAAAAACAATAGCATGTTTTCATTAATTCGCCTGAAAATTTCCCTCTCAACTGTTGGTTTGTTAGTTAGCCACTGTCAAGGTCCCCATGGAAAGTTATGCCCCCACCCGGAAAAAAAGATCTAGGTGACACCTCAGCTAGGTGATGTCACTGTGTCTGACCACGGATGGTCTGGTAGAAGGAATCAGTTCTGTTTTCCAGTCGACCAGAGTGACGCATGAACTCATAGATCATGTTTGTATCTCTCGATAAATAATCGCTCATGATAATGTGGCGTTCCCCCCCCTCAAAAAGATATCTGAAGTCTTCTATCCCTGCCCGATGTGACCCATAAATTTAAACGCACTTGAAGCTCATCAAATAGCGAAAGCAACATCCAAGTTTGGCGAGTCATTGTGTTGCTCAAAGTCGCCGTAACATGATGTCTTGCTCGACCGACATTTGTCGAAGTTTACAGGGTGCCAGTGAACTAAGGAAAGGGTGTACTGTGTTGATAAAGAAGGCACACGTATTTTCTGTTTTCGGAGAAGGTTAAAAAAAATCCACCATGCCCTTCTGTAGCTATCTCCGGGGAGTAGGGCTCCGAACGCCGGCAGCACGGGACAGAACTCGTCTGGTGCAAGACCAGTTTTGTTTATCCGTTCTCTGACAGTTTGTGTACAGTGGGGAAATATTTGTATATCCCGCGGGGAATATGAAGCTTTTCTTTTCGTTGTTCCCCACATATTTCCATACTTTGGTTTCTAATGGCTGCGAGCTGGGGCTCCTGGCTTATTTCATCGCTTGACGCCGGAGGCTGGCGATACAGTGGTTTGTTTTATTGCTGTCACCCGAACTGAATGTTGAGAAATCAATGCATGTTATTGACATCAACTATTTAGGGTTGACCATCCTCCGATGTCAAGTGATGGGGGCGATTCGCAGCTATCTCCTTTCGCGCTCCACTGGGGCATGTTCGTTAAGCTCACCGACGAAAACGTCAGGTCGACTGTCTATAAACACCATTACTTATAATTTATAAGCAGCCTTTGAATTCTCACCTCAAGCTCAACCAGAAGACTTTGGGCTGAATGTAATCTCGCCGCAGATAAGAGCTTCTTTTTTTTTTTTAAACCAGTGCGATATGAATTACGTTGGGCAGATGGCCCAACCAAAACACCAGTGTCTGGCGTGAAGACGTCGTTTGCACTAGCCTTCCTCGAGTTCACGTTATCCCCAACTCACCAACTGAATTTGGATTTTGAGTTAAGCTTCAGGAAAGGAAGGCGTCTGAATTGAGATTATGAGGGAAGGGGGGGTCGTGTTCATGTTCGAAGGCGTACGTTCTCAGTCATCGAGAACTGGTGAAATGTCAAAATTGCAAGGGGGCTTCAAACGAAGCCTCTGCTACATTCAATTTAGCAGGGTCCCAACATTTACGGAAAGGGGTTTCAAAAGGTCCTGTGCCATCCAATAGTACTATAAAGGGCAGATCCAAGGGTCAAACGGGGAGGGATCGCACGGCAAAAGTTATGGTGTTAAAATTAGTATTCATTTGGGTGTTATGAGTCTAGTGTGGTAACACCCAGGGTGTGTAATTAACACCACGGTTTTTTTAAATGCATCCCCCCTAGGAGCAACGAGAGAAAGGCGATTTTGACAGTATTTCATGCTTTCCTTCCAAAAGCGTAAAAAACCCTAACATGTAGCCATACAGGGTTACTGTGTAATTTCAAAACATTTGAAACAACTTTTAACACTACTTATGAACGAGGGGCCCAAAAGGAAGAAAGAAAATATTTAAACAGTGAAGAAAACTAGTAAATGCATAAGATCAGAAATTACTGTGGAAGGAATTAAACCTTTACATGTCTCAAATGAGCCCCATTTACTGTTTACGCGCTCAAAAAGTCGACAATCAGGCAGGTCTCAACTTCTACATGCACTGCACCAGTGAGAGTTAAATGGCAGAAATTCGACTTAATGGTAGAACATTGACCTTTAAAACCTGAACGAAAGGATTATTAAGTTTAATTTGAATAACCAGATCAAAATCTTATGTACACAAAATTGAAAAACAAACTCTAGTTTGATTCAGTGTCTGTTGAGGACGTGTTTAAAATGAACGGTTGGCTGGGGTAGGCCTAATCTTGATTTTCACTAGAATAACTAGGATCGTCGGTGTTTCTTGGAAATCGTAAAGAGTAAATGGGCATTTGCAGATTGCACTTGGCAAAGAAAACCATGATAAGAACCTGAAATTTCTGAAAGATAGAATACGTCAACATGTGGGCTTCTTTCCAATGACTGGTTACAGAAAGAAATACACGTCATGAAGGCAAAACCACACGGGCAGTTTCTCCGCAATTCTTCAACCTGAAAAAAAGCACCCCGACCTATCTCTCCCAGCACCTTTGGCTACAGAGAAAATCATAAACCGAATCCTTTCACTGTCAGGTCCATTGTAAGTAGCATCAACTCCGTGGATAACAGCTCACTAAAAATACGCGGGACATTTCAAGAACGCAAGACCGGGCTGAGGCATTCAAGTTGCAAGCCAATAGAACAGTGAAACAAAAGACCTGTTGCGCGTGCTCTAGGTGCACCGGACACTGTGAGTGCAGCTCTCCAAGAATTCCTCGAGAACAAACAACGAACCGAACTGAATGTCAAACGAATCAATGAACCAGTGGAGAAGAATTGTCTGAGAACCACGTGTTTCCCCACAGTGAGAAATTCTGCTTGCTAGCTATCATTTCGTCGCGGACATCTTTGAATGACGATTGCCAAAACAGCAACGCTGCCATACAAACATGAATTTACACCACTGGAAGTAAACAGCCGAGCCATTGCGAGCTCTCTGGACACTATTTGATACAGACGAAAACATGGGATTCATTAAATGGCTTTGAAAAGGCAACGGCCTTGCTTTTGGGAATTGTGTGCATCAATGTGATTAGTGACAGCACGGAGACGGCGGATGTCTTCAAAAATCAACCCACGTCTCTACTCATCAGTATTTCGAGTGCCATGAAACCGTGGTTTCCATCGACAGGGACATTAGGACAATGCAGTACATTATGATAGATTTATCATTGTAGGGACCTGATCGACAGGGAATATGTACCGTGAGATTGTCAACTCAATCGAAGGAATACCCAAGACTGATTTCCCACTCATCTGCGATTCTTGATAAAGAGGAGAAGTGGTAGAGACATCCAGGAGGCCGACTGGGAAAGAGCTGATTCAACAATGTTTCGCCCTTGTCAATCACGTGACCTTCCCAAGTCTGATAATTTGGACACAACGTTGCAAGTTGTTTCAGGTAAGCACGCTATTTTGTTGATGGTTAAGATTTCTCTACGACGAGGGAAAAGGCTGTCTTGTCTTAAAAAAAATGCAAATGTCTTCCTTTCACACAATGAGCACGTTTCCACCGCGCTTGTGGACAAACTTGCGACCGCAGCAATTGTGCAAAATACATGCAACTGGTCCTGAGCTGGGAAAGTAAGTCCCCATTGTTAAAGCCATATATATTTTTTCTACCGGGAACATTCCGGATAGGGCATTGATTGCATTCCCAGCCAATGTAATCTTGAAAGGTTCAACATTGCAAAGTTTTAAAAAATCATTCTCATTCTGAGAGAGGGGAAGTCTTCCTATACGCTTAAAATACAAAACTATAGAGGGTTCGAAAAAGGGGGAATTTTCCAAACAGCCTCTGAGTGAGGCCCAGAGCATATGATAAATAAATCAAGTCAGCCGAAGACATTGATTTTATCAGATGATGTCTTGAAGAAAAAAACTCGCGCGTATGCCCACCCACTTTGAAATCTATGTACGCGAATATACGAATGCTATGGGGATTTTGTACTCCGCAAGCCGAACGATGCACGTGTTAAATCAATTGGTTATAGTTTACAGGGCGGAATAAATCACGTGTTGGTGGCACCGGGGGCATTGCGGGTTCCCTCTAAAATGTTTACGATTCATTACCGAGTCCCTGTCTTTATCAATTATTTGAAAAAAAATTGGCATCTGCAAATTCAGGTTTGGCAGTTGGGTAAGATTAAATGGGGGTCGGCCTACTTTTATTTTACAAGTGGTAAAGTCGTCTTTAGTTAGATGGAGACTCGGGGGTTAGGTTACAAACGGGACACGGACCACTCTTGACTTAATGAAAATACATGTGTCCAAAAGTTTTGGATATATGCAAATGGTTCAGTTCTAAGGCTACAGAGCTGCTAGCTGCAAAGACTTGCCGTACGTCGTGGTAACGAGGTCTGAATTTGCTCGCACCACCATCACCCAATCTAAGGGAGCGGTGGTAAAGACTAATAATTTCTCGGGAATGCATGTAGGCCCTAATAATTTCTTCGCGCCTTCAGCAGACGCGATTTGTTTGAACAAGAAGTGGGCCGAAACTTTTACCCATGCTTGACAAGAGGGACAGTAATATGCGTGTGCGGTGTTCCAAAAAAAGTTTACAACCCATAGTGTTCTGTGATGCCTGTGCCTCCTTCTCACAATTATTGTGTGAAAGGCGTGCGCCATCTGAATATATCTCATGGTACGGGTTTTCTGGCCCATTAACGTTATTAGATGCAGAGGGAAAACGCTTTTATACATCGGGACCGTGAGGTCTACCCTCTCCCCAAACTAACGTCCCCTCGGCCAAATCTCAGACAAAGCGTGATCACATTTTAGGCCCGCCGTAAATTGTACACGGGTGAAGTAGCGCGCGTCCATAACATGGCACTAAACTTGTTAGCGGATCCGAGCGTGCAGAGAGAGATGCCTGCAAATTGAAGTTAAATTGATGTCACTTTTTCCCCCTTGCACATGACTAGTCGCGACAAGACTATTCGGCCAACGCTGGGAGTCACTGAGTGGTAGTGCGTCCCCGGGAGGCGGCCCGCTGTCCCCGCGCCGTTCCAGCAAAATTTGACATCCATTCTGTACCCGCCTTTTTCTTATGTTCCCGTGAACCTGCGGCCGATTCGATTACCGTGTCGTCTGCCACTCCCTGAGCGCTGCCAAATCGCATTTGGACTGAAACAAATTGGACATCATACGAACCCCCTAAAACACGGTTGACTGGGAATTGGAAAGGGGTATGTTCGCCCTGGCGGCTGATAATTTGGAGAGGCGATTGGCGAAATTGTGTTAGCGATCCTAAAATTCCTCGATATTTGACGCATGGGCGCGGGCGGGAATGGTGGGCCGTCACTTTTCACACTTTGCACCATCAAGCAGGCAAACGTCGTCTGAAAGACCATTCCCAACAAACTAGGCTCTCTCCTAGCAAATGTGAGCTCGGCGTGGTCCATTACTTTGATTGGGTGCATCACGTTGTGGGTAACTTCAACACATGTCTACTAAAAAAGACTACAGAGGTGTTGAATGTGGTGTTGCTAATCAAATTGAAAACACTATGAATAATTACGCCTAGGATTCCAAGCATGAGGGAAACATTAAATAAAATTAAACCTTTCCGCTGAAGAGTTGAATGAAATAGCTCTCAGTGTTTTAAAGTACCGGTACTTCTCTGGTGGTTCTTTATAAGGCCAACATTTTCATCTACAAAGGATAAGGTTGTGTCCAGCGAGGATTGTATGCAGTGTATTTCGCGTACATTACTGGAACGGAGACATTTTTTTCCCTGGTAAAACCCCTTTCTGGAAATAGGTCTTTGTTGATTTATTAAGTTTTCTACCATGAAGATGTAACTAGTTTCTGCGCATTCACAAAGATTTATCAACTCAAACCGCAAAAATGGTGTATCACCAGTGTTTCTGGCATTATATCTTAGGTTGTGCTGACAAGAAATATCGACGTTTTCCACGAGATTTTGCACACAAATCAGTGGCATAAAAAAGTAGGAAGCGCACTTGACAGTGACGGAACACGTGTCCAATCTGAATATTCATGAGCAAGATTTCTCGACGTAATTAGATTTTCCATAATGAATGTTGGTCTTATTCGCCTCCGCTCAACCTTCGCTATTGTCGCTGCACCCCTCCCCAGCGAAACCTTTTTTGTCACTTGGCACCAGGGTCGTCTGTCACGCGCTGTTCCATGCAATTTATTTGAAACCTGAGCCCTTCCAAAAATATACGGTGGGAAGGAATATGATTGGTCAGTGACATGCGGGGACGATGGTCCTTCGATTCGAGGGATATATCACGTTTCGCACACGGAGAGGGTATCAAATTTGGATGTTAACCTCACAATGACCAGGAATGCAAGACAAAGTGAGAGTACCGGGTTTGCATAATTCGCTTATTGTCTACAGTAAGCAGATATGTGACCAATGAAAGCAGTGTTAAGTGCATATTTCAATAAGTCCGATTTGTTGTTTCGTAAGCTACAGGAACTGTAGAATTATTATTATTATTAATTTTTTGAATTTATTTATTTTACCTCTTCATTTTCTGTAAGGTCAAAAAGAAGGTCTAGTTTGAGGTATCCATTTTACCTCAAAATAATTTTTTTTTTACTTTTCAACACTTGTGGGACAGATTATAATATACCAGCCGGAGAGCACTGAGTTATAATTTGTACTATAGGTTTGAAAACGAAAGCTTTTTGATGTGTATAAGCCCATATTAAAAGAACAGAATAGCTCCTCACGTACAGCAGTGCAACACTACTGTTTCTAACCTCAACAGGGTTGAATTTAAGGGAAACTTGGATTGCCTGATCCATGCACCAAGAATAAAAGCTGGGTTTAGCCTAACAGCGTTTCCATTCCTCGAAAAAAGAGCGCTATCATAGGGATAATGGTATCATCCGCTGTAGTAGGCCTAGACACATTGATGTAAGCAAACATGCGCAGGTATTAAATATCAAGTTATGTACCTTCCAACTGCTTATAGGTTATAGACACACAGAGCATATCACAGTTTGCATATCATCCTCTCCTATCTTCTCTCCTCATGCCCCCCCCCCAACGGACCAGCTCTGTCAAAATCTTGTCATACTGAGTGCGATCGTCATTCTCTGGTTTTTTTTCCCATGACTTAGCCTATCTTTCGCCTGGGGCCCCAAAATAGACGGTCAGATTTTTTTTTTATTTCCACTGTGTGTGCGCGCGCGTCTCTGTGTGTATTTATCTGTCAGACAAAACAGGCCACGTGTGATCTGTGCAGCAACCGACTGACACATTTTTCCCTCGCAAAGTGACAGCTTCTTTTTTTTCCTCTTCAAGAATTTCATGGCGAAGGGAAAACACAAACACCAGCTTTGGTGCGCCGGATGTTTCTGGGTTCTTGGAGCTGATGGCGAAGTCGGTCGACCGATAAGCGGGTCACAGCACGTCTTTATTTTTATTCTGACATGCGTTCTGAGTCAGACTGTCCTTTTAAAAACAAACATGCACCTGACGAGCATGTGGAGTACAGTCGCAGATGAAAAAAAAATATCGTCCTTCAATTAGAACAGAAAGTTTCAAAGAAGGCGAAGGGGAGAACTCACTAACTGTTAACCACAGAAACCTTTCGGGAAGAATGTTGTGAATTTTATTTCACAAAATAAAACCAGAACTTCAGGGAAGCAAGACATTTTGACGAGTTAGATAATGCCAAGCTTCTTTCCACCCTCAGGCTAATCCATCCTCCTATTAAACAACCAATTCTCCTCACGAGCCTGGGCGTCTGGTCTAATCTCAGTCGTGTTGCTGCCACATTGGTACATCCGGGAACCCAGCGGGACCTGATTTTGTTTTGTTATCTACGTAATTGATAATACATGTACGTACGTAACAGTATCCGGTACGACCATATTTTTAATAACAATTCGTGTTATTTCGTACAAGTGTAATAATTATCACATACATGCGCCGCCACAATACTGCGCAAGCATTTGTCGCGTTCTTATAGCGCATATCGTGATATATCTCACCTTATATTACCGTAGTGACTTGTTAAAAATGCCAGCAAACACAGTCTCTTTTGTCAACTCGTCAGTACGCACTCAAGTATCAACACGTATCCGGTTCGTAAGTGTGACGTCACTTCAGTTTAAACCACGCCTATTGCACATGCACTGCACATAGAGTTACATTTATTGATCGCCGTTGACATGGAACTATGAAACCGGAAGTTAACGCGCAGCTTCAGCGATCGTCCAATGAGAGCCTGCAATGATCGTGGCGCGTCAGCGTGTATGACAAAATCACTTACGTACAGGATACATAGTATACATAAGACGTTAACACATTATAAAGTACGCAAGTGAATATGTCACGCGCACACTTATGTGTTGAAAAGGCACTAGCGCAAGAACCAGCGTGTGAGCTAACGCGTACTCCATTGATTTGTACGG